ATTTTAATTATAGTAAGTGCAACCACTTTTTTTTTCTCAGTGTAAGGATCTTTCAGATGCTTTCTCGTTTCTTTTAGCAGAAATTCACTTCAGATTTAACTCGCTGCGAAATTCTTAATTATCCATTACGCAGACAAGCCTTTTCCTTTCTACCAATTAGCCTGCTGTGGTACATCTTTACTGCCTGCAGTTTGAGGAACAATACACCACGTTGTACGCATATTTATTCCTCCCGCGTTGCTTCCCACGTGGAAATCCAATGCCTGAATAAAACCTTTCATCGTCATCGACATCGCTCGATGTGTCATAGCGATGGGAAGATCGTCCTCGATGCATCGTGTCTTCACGCTTCTATTCTAGTCGCGAATTATGCAACGCGCAGGTGGTTCCAATCCACGATATTTTCACGCCGTTTGACTACACTCGCGTGATAGGACTTGACAAGAAAGAGTTTCCTCACATATGTCGCGTTTGTCGCCTCTTTTTCATACACGAATATGCCGTCATGTGCTACAGAGATATTCTTCGAATGCTATAGAAATATATAAAATATCATAAACAATTAAAATATTATAAACAATATTAAATAAAAAATTTCTTAAGACCGTAAATGTGAAATAAAAATAGGGAATAAAAGCCTTTAACGGTCAAGCTAGATTTTAAGTACTTAATGTTCAAATGTTATCGAACAGCTTTCCTGGGGACTTCGGTTCCCGTGAAGGTGGTGGCTTCTCACGTCCGCGACTCGTGAAAGAGGAGTTAACGATGAGATAATTGCCGGCTGGTGGCTGCTGCGCACTCATTGTTCGCCACCGATCCGGACGTACGGTTCTTCCGACGGTGGTATCTCAACTTCGATGACTCATGAGCGCGCCATGCGCAGCGAATAACGTATGCAATAGAAAGTATGTTTTAGCTACAAGAAATAAATCGAGCCGGAATTTGCGTTGCGAAATTGTGTCTAATTCTTGTGTGCGTATGTGTGTATTATCGCGAAAATATAAATTCCTCCGTACTCAAAAAAATTTCCCCGGATCAATTTTTCATTAGTTCTGTGAAGTGACTCACAGTGATACAAATGAACGGAGCTAAATGCTGAAAAAAAGGAGACATTAGTTCTTCAATTAAACATTATTTTACTTTAATTAAATTTTTTCATTTTACGCTGTTATCTCTTCAACTCTTTTCGATTAAGTAATTGAAATATAGGGGAACATGGTGTTCCTTTGACCGGTTGTACCTTCAACTATTTGAATTTATAAAAAATTTATTGGATATTTGTAAAAGTAAAAATATGTAATTCGTAGTAAGAGTACCAGAGGTGTTTTATAACTTATAATTATAATAATAAAGAGAATTATACTCCTAGGAAAAATCATTATTGTTTTCAAGCGTTCGAATGAAGTAATTTCAAGACGCTTTTTGATCTCATAAAATGTTGTATATATATTCTGCTTATGTTGGAATTGCCTAAAATGTTAAATAGATATTCAGAAAAAATTATTAATTTAAAATTTAATACTGTTAATCTTAACCTATAATTTATAAAAGTAACAAATAGAAAGTGAGCAAGCGTTGTACCTTTAACTAGTAACTGATAGTATACCTTTGACCAGTCAATACGGTGTCGGATAATTATTTAGTTTAGCTATCTTACCTCCAATATTAATAAAATTATGCTCATTAGACGCGATTTTGAATGAAATGAATGAAGAATTTGTAAAAGGACATTAAAAATATAAAAATATGAATAAAATTCAAGGCGCAGGTTTTAATTCATGTTTTGCGATCACTGTTACAGACTTTCTTTTTGTTATTAATATTTGACCAACATAAAGTGTCAACACAATCACAGAGACCTTTTTATTATTATTACAAGATTACATAAAGTGCGAACACAATTACAAACTTTTTTATTATTCGTAAAATAACATAAACTGCAAACATAATCACAGACTTTCTTATTACTCTCCACGTAATTTAAATATTACATGGATAGTAAAAATAATAGATACCACCCGCGAGCGAAAAACTGGAGATCTTTCCCGTCTGCTGGAGAACTGGAAATTGGTCCCGAAAACTGGAGTCTCCAGTCGAAATCTGGAGACCTGGCAACCGTGCCTCTATCTCGAACCGTTCAGAAGTTATTTAGGTGTCCCGATACTTTTTCCTCACCCTGTATATGTTACTGCTGTAGTTCAGTGGAGCGTTTCAAGACCGAAAAATCATTTCGACGCGCAGTTTAAAGGACTACACATACGTAGTATATAAATTCATATAGAATTGAGAGAGAGAGAGCACTTAAGATCCAGCTTTAGACTGTTAAAATGTATTTATCTCCTATTGATTGTGTACTCACATGTATGGTTCTATAAGATATTTAGTTTAATATTGTTTAATAATTTTTAGTATTCGACTACGCACAAACATTAAACACGTTCAACCTCTTTCTTTCTTCTTTCGTTTGTTCTGGCGACCCTCTCGGAACTCTTTCTATACACGTTCTTCTGCCTCGGCAACGGAAGCGGAGGAGGAGATGATGGTAGTGGTGGAGGACGTTCATGTAAGAGACGCGGGTATCCTTCGAATTATACGATCTGCAAGATCTCAGCTGGCAAAGTACGATCGCGAAGATCGATAACGGGTCGAGGAAAAGTACGCTGTTGCTTCTCCTTCTCCTTTTGTACTTGCCTCCGTCGCATACGTCAGGCTCTTCTTCTGATCCACTCGTTACGTGTTTATTTTGCAATTATTACGTTCTCGTGCCTGGCATGCCGACGTACATCATCACCGATTAACGGACATCGGAGTTGTGCAAAGAAACAAGCGCCTAACATGGCGAAAGCTACCGAAGAACTGGCAGGCGTGTTTGTGAATGTATTTACGTAGGTGCGTTTCTGTCTAGTGGCATCTTGATAAAGTATGGAAATTTCACTATTACTAAATCTGTTTCTTTTTTATCTACACTGAGATAGAAAGATAGGGCGAGAGAAAGCGATATAATTCGAGCTATCTCACTATTTTTTAAACCGTAGATATATAGTAACAGTTTCACAGATACGTCTATGGATTTTTGAATATTTACGAATTCGAAATTTATTTTTTTATTTATATCCAACACTTGGCAAAAATGCTTAAAAAATCTTTTTTGTCTATTTTTTTCGAAATAAAACGTGACGCATGAAATTTTAATTTAATGTAATATAAAATCAAGTTAATATTACAAACTAAACTAGTGTTGCATTATTGCGAACAAAACTCAGTATGACGGCAAGGTTACGGCACTCATGCGTCTTCTTTCTGCCGATTCTTCGTATAAGCGTATCTATCTTCACATGAGCTATTTCCCACGCGTCTTCGCGAACGGATGAATTAACATGCGACCGGGCAGGCAGTCAATCGTGCAATCTACACGTGAACGTTTCCACTTTTCACTTTTCACCTTTTCGTATTTTTCGAATAAATCTCTCTTCCATTCAATTCTTACGTGTTCGCGCACTGAAAAAATATTACTCCAGCACGATTTCGGCAAATCCATGTGAAGATTTTTATTCCTTATCATTCTTTGACAGGCGAAACTTTCACTGTTTACCTTCTCACTTTTGAGAGAAGAGATTACGTGATCGATGATCTGCAAATAGAATATACTACCGGTCAAAAGTTTAAGTTCAGATTGATAAAAAATATATAAATAACACAAGTTTTTCAATAAATTTGGCTCAATAACTTTATTTAAAGGAAAAAAGTAATGTTGTACAATGCAAAGTAAAAGCGAAACTTAATTTTATACTTTTTTGTTGATTTTCGATTCTTCAAAATATCCTCCTTTAGACTTCAAAACAGCAGCACATACGTTAGGCATCCTTTCTATTAATTTTTGTAAAGTAGTAGTTGAAATTTGAGTCCAACACACTTGCAGAAACTCCCACAATTTATTTTTATTAGTTGGTCGTATTTTTCGCACATTCCTGTCTAACTCATCCCATAGTAACTCAATTGGTCAGGTGACTGAGGGGGCCAGTTTATATATTTCAACTCTTTTTGCTTTTCTTTTTTCGCGATGTACTTCTTACACAATTTTGACGTGTGCTTAGGATCGTTGTCTTGCTGGAAAATAAAACCACGACCTACTATTCTCTTTCCAAATGGAAAGGCATGACGTTGTAAAATATAATGATATCGTGTTTTATCCAGAATTCCCTCAATTTTATCGATTTTTTCTTCGAGTTTGTGTACTTTCGAGAGGTGAACTTAAACTTTTCACCGGTAGTGTAGGTTATGCATGTTTGAGACAAAATAAATTTTATAAAATTATGAACTTAAACTTCTTTTTTTGTTTATGCTTTTCAATTCTTGCACAGAAAAAATGGTTTTGCTAAAAATTATAAATACAGATCTAAAAATAATTTGTTGGACGATTAAAATAATCATATCGAACGCTTATAGCCATTTTACAATGTGCTCCTTGTTTCCTGTTTCTTGCTGTTTGTCTCTTGCCTTTTTGACCAAAAGGCAAGAGACAAACAGCAAGAAACAGAAAACAAAAAGCACATGGTATAATGGCTATTAAGTATTGATGATAAGTTTTAACATTCTAGTAATCAGTTTGAGTATCCTACATAATTATTTTGGTCCAAACAAAATTATTTTTATATCTGCTTCTAGTTAACTATTGAGAAAATTTACCTTAGAAAATCTTAAAAAAACTTCAAATTTATTTCAGAGAAAACTTTGGATCTAAGAAATATGAAAGGTAAATATTTGAAAAATATGAAAGGTAAATTTAGACATGTTTAATTCTCTGTTTCCGTATAATGTTTTAATTATCGTAAGTTTAACTCCAAATGTAATACAAACGAGAATTGGATAATAATATTTATCGCACTGAATACGCTTCTTATATAGGGATACGGATCCTGAGAAAATACGACTGTTACTCCGATCGGTAATTGAGATCGAGGATCAATTGTAAATAACAAAGTTCATCGTTCGACTTTCAGATCGGCCTTACCGAAGTAAGCAGGAGCGACTGGACTCGCTCATGCCGGGCAGGGCGGAAGGACTCAGAAGTAGCAATAGCAGTAGCAGGTGGATCTCAGCAGTGTGTGAGAAAAAATCATTGGCAGAAGACGTGGAAACGTGAAGGGTGTGTCATTTTTTTGCCAGAGACTATTTTCCCTCGCGAAAACAAGCTTCCACGGAAGGATGTCGCTCAGAACGGAACGCTCGACGCTCCTCGCGTCGTTCCTGACGCTGCTGATGACATTAATAACGATGACGTTCTGGCGAACCGCTCACGCTCACGTGGCTCTGACATTCCCGCCAGCCAGGCACTACGATCTGGACTTCCTAGATAATGCCAGAACGCCGGCACCGTGCGGCATGCCGCGTGGTGAGTGCTACTAAACCATTATTATTAATTGTTCCGTATTAGTCCGCGTGTATGATATATTCCACATTTTAAATATTTACCTTAATTTTACGAAAATTAAATAATCCTTAATAGTTAATTTGGAATCAGATCTTTCTTAGAGAGTAAAGAGATGTATTAATTGGAAAATATATGTTATTTAATCTAATTATTTCTGAAAACCAAATAAAAACCTTTTTACATTAAAAAAAAAACAAAAATTTTTTACATATTTTTAAATTGATAAAAAAAGTTACGCACTACAGAGATCTAGACAAACTATTGTTATCTGGAAAACAACAGATACGGTATAATACCAGAATATTATTTCCACTCTTGACAAGATTTATAAGAAAAGTTTTACGCGTCGAAGCCGTATCTATCATCGTTATCGAGAAAACTATTCCAATGTATAGACCTAACTTTTTTGTCAAAAAATGTATTTAAAGTATACAAAAGTCTGATAAAATATATCTAAAACACGAAAATTAATTTACTAATAACGAAACCGAATTTTTAATTATTTTTAGAACGTAAAATATAATATCAAACATTGCGAAATGTTAATTATATCGAGTACTTTTCGAAAAGTATTTACAGAAAGAACGGTCTGGATGAAGTATCTAACACAATTTAGTTAGAAATTTGCAGAGAATAAATTTTGTTGGAATATTAAAATAATTATGTAGAAAGCTAGTTATTAGAATGTCAAAACTTTTTTGACATTTATAATGAGCAGCATCATCATGCTTGAATTTCCTATATAATTATTTTGATCATCCAAGAAAATTATTTTCAGATCTGTATCTTTGAAAAGAATGTTTAGTTGGATTAATTGAAATTGGACGAATCAGAATTGTCTAGTTAAATCTATTAAATTCTTATAGTTATGATAACGTCGGAATTCTGATTGATAAAATCACAATTTTCTAGTTGTCTATTTTCAACCAGACATTTTTCTCAGTGATACTTAAATGTTTAGATATTTCAGCAAAATCTTTTTTTTTCGAACTTCAACTTTCAACGAAATGTCGGAATCGCGCGGGAGGTAGAAGCGTAATACACACGGGAATTAGGAAAACAAGAATTAGAGTTCTTTGAGAGTCGGAAGTTCGTTGATCGAGAGCGCCTCGTGTTCTGCGAAAACCGCGGCGAAGGCACTTTTCGTACGAGAGTCGCGCGCTCCTCATCTAAAGGAATGGAGCAGGGAGCGGGAGGGTTGAATGCATGGTGCGCAGGGGGCACGGGTTTCTATGGGAAAACGACATTAACGTGGACGCTCGATCTCCTTCTCCCGGTAGGGAATACAGCCCGCCGACCGCCGACGTCGCCGCCAGTCAGTCCGATTCGAAGCGACTTTCACCGGCTTGCATGAAGGGAGCGCGAGCCTCTCGGTATTCGCGGGCATTACCTTTCATGTTTTACGCGTACCTAACCGCTGATACCCAGGGCCGCATATACAGAGGGGAAGAGCGAAACTGACCGTGATAGTTAGGAAGATCGTAACTTGACCTTCTTTCCCCTCCAAAGAAAGAATATCTGCAAGATTGAACACACACGAAATGCAAGAGATGGACATGATATGAAAGTGGCATTAATAATTAAATAGATATTTCATCTTCTACGCAAAGAAAAATGAGATTTTATATTTCTACACACAATCAAGAGTTCTTCATTTTAACTTTTTCGCTGTGGGCCTTGAAAGGCTAAGAAAAACATACACGGAAAGAACAGTATTGCTGGAATGAAATTTAAAAATTTAGCTAGGTATAGATCTGAAAATAATTTTGTTGAATCATCAAAATAGTTATGTAAGACGCTCAAGATGATTGCTAGAACGTCAACATTTTTTGTATCATTATGCTTGAGTGTCCTACCTAATTATTTAGTTCAACAAAATTATTTTTAGATCTGTGTGTGTGTGTGTGTGTGTGTGTCGAGTTAAATTTTTAATCTTTTCAGAACCTGTGTACATTGTAAACCATGTAGGTATTATACAATATTCAATTTGAAAGAGTCAAAATTTTGAAAAAATTGTTTAGTATGAATTACTTATTAAAATGTTCTTAAATTGAATTTAAAAAAAAAATATTTTTAACATGTTTTCAATAAAATCAGTCCTGCAGGGATTAAATAGCAAAACCGTTTCTTCTGTATGTTTTCTTTTTCAAGACTCGCAGCGAAAGAGTCAAAACAAAGAACTCTCGATCATACTCTTTGAACATTCTCACGACAAGAAGTGTATATCGAAAAACTGAGGATTGTCATTTACTCTCTCTTGGGACTCTTACTTTTTTTTAATCTTCTTTTGGAACTTCGATCTAAAATGGTAAAACTAACGAAGTGAAAAACAAAACTGCCATAAGAAAACGTAGATCATAACTATTATGTTCGACGTTTTCACATTGTTGCATCGCGCGACAACGTGAAGTCGTCACAATTATTTTGCTCGGTGTCATCGATCCTCCCTTCTCCCCCACATTTTTCCTTGCGAAAGCGTAATTAAGACTACGCCGTAGATGGTACTGCACGGATTATGCAACGATAGAGAGAAAAGAGAGATATCATTATTCTATCTCGTGTGGGTAACGCGAATTATTCGTTAGCTCGAGAAAAAGAAGTCTTCTTCGTGGAGACTTCTCTCCGTACACTGACCCCATCGCTCTCATTTATCCACCTCCCCGCTCATTATCGGGGCAGTGATTAATTTGTACCACGCTATTCTCATTCTCTCACGCGTCGCACGAAATTGCGAAAAAGTCGCGTAACCGGTCGTAGAAAATTGCGGCTCGAACGCGCGCGTCACGCGACGTAAGTGCGTGTGATTGCGTAGTGACATTTACGTCAACTACAATTAACGAATTAAAAGATTACAATTGTATCTTTCTCATTTGTCGACACTATTTGATTAGGCAGTCCAATTACGTATTATTATATTACTCCTTGATGTTTAGAGCCTGTTTCTTACTCAATAGACTAATTGAAAAATCCACTAAGAAATAGAAGAAGAAAGTATATTTTTATCTAAAGTCTGTCCAATTTTTTTAATTGTAATTATAATTTCTTGAATAAGAAATGCTGCTCGTGACGAATTCTACGAATTCTACGAAGAACGATTTTGCTGAAGTATCTAAAAATTTAGCTGGATACAGGTCTGAAATAATTTTGTTGGACCATCAAAATAATTATATATGTAGAAAGCTCGATGAGCAATACTACAAAAATTTATGCTAGCAATCAGCTTGAACATCCTACATAATTATTTGGATAGTCCAATGAAATTATTTTCTGATTTGTACCTAACTAAATTTTTACTTCAGCAAAGCTATTCTATGTGGGAAAGGTTTTGAAAATTTTTGTTGCTGCGGGTATGTAGAAATCTATCTGAATGTTTCCTCGCGATTTTTATTAACGTTGCCTTACCTCACACTCAATTCTGAATTATAATGACTAAAACTAGCCGCGGTTTGACTTGACTGCCTTCACGATTGCGCTAACGCACACCGGCTGCGCGAATGCAGTAATAAATTTTTCTTTCCGCGGTTATAATTTAATCGAGCCGCTCTGACGGCTCCGCTCGGTCAGTAGAAGAGAAGAACTGCTTTCCTTCCTTGACTTGGGAAGCGGAAGAGACCGATATTGCGGTAATACCAGAAAAGTTGATTAAAACAGTACCGGAGGGTAATCAATTATTTGCATTTATATTAAATTAATGCATGAACTTCGCGGATTTGACGTTCTATTATATCAGACTGCTCCCTTTTTCCTTAAATATTCATCGTAATAAAAAGAAAGCCGAAATATTATGTGAAATATTGATTGAAAAGCGATTATGCTGCACGGAAAAATATTTGTTCTATTGTTAGTTTCTAATTTCTTTCAAAATCTCTCAAATATTAGCAGAATATCCACTCAACAAATCTTCGAAAAACGAGTATGCTTGATTAAATTCGTTTACGCACGTAATAGATCATCTGTTTTTTACATAATTCTTTTTCTTTAAAGCGAGCGGTGAAATTTTATGTAGCCCAGGGGAAAGTGGGAGAATTGCGGGCACCTAAGGAAAAGTTAAAGCTATCAATTATTTATCAATTAATAACAGTTTTTATTCAAAAGTAGATATTCTAGTTATTTATCTTTAAACTACAATAATTAACATTTATAAATTATCTACATAAACTGTAAATTTAAATAAAAAACAAAACCTTTACCGTTCGGAATTACCCACCGTCACGCAAATTGACGCCGAATTAGTTTTGTCAAAATCACCGTAAACATGTAAATCTTAAACAGTGTGTACGTTCTATGGTCATGTGTTGAATGATACTAATCATATATCGGATTGTCACTGAATACGAAAAATGAGAAATTATCGCTACTCTAATATACTATAATAGTATCGTCCGTTTATTTCGCGTCCGCAATTTCCTCGCTCTCTCCTATAGTTAGTACAGCTTGATTTCGAAGTTTCGTCTCGTTTGAAAAGCTCGATAGAATGCTCGATAGAATGCTCGGTAGAAGGCTGAATGTAAATTAATAGGCTAGAAATGTCCCGTGACAAGCATTTTCAGAGTGCTAAATTGCGACTTATCGGCGTTAGCGATACGACGTGACCTACGGAACAGGCCGAACAGGTTGCGACAAACTCGAACGAGGCCAAAATAAGGCCTCGCGACTTTTAATGGCGATAAATTTTCAGAATCAATCGTCGATGATGCGAAACGCAGTGCTATTTATTAATGCCCGATCTCACTTTACTCACAAGATTACGGTCGCAGTCTAATTTTAATTTCAAATATCGTTTTTCAGGCCACGTCAAGACATCATTACTGGCAGGAAGCAAGTTTAATGTCACATGGCACCTCGCCTATCCCCACAGGGTAAGTTAAACTTTCACAAGTCATTTGAAATTTTTTATCGCATTATAGCAACGAAATCGAAATTTTTAATCGATTTATTATAGCAATGTGAATAAAGTAACATAGTATTGAAATCCATACAGGAAAAACGATTTTGCCGAAGTATCTAAAAATTTAGGTTGGTCTGAAAGTAATTTAGTTGAATTGTTGAACTATTAAAATGATTACATATGTAGGACTCAAGCTGATTGTTAAAATGACAAAACTTTTTGTAGATTATTCATCATGCTTGAATTTCCTACGTAATTATTTTGGTGAGCCAACAAAATTATTTTCAGATCTGTATCTAGCTAAATTTTTAGATACTTGAACAAAATCGTTCTTTCCATGTAGAAGCATTTTTTTCTGTAAAACAAAACATTTATAATATGTTGAATTAATAACTTTTTTCTATTATATTTATTTATCTTAGAATTTACGTATTAAAATACATTATTTTTATTGACTGCATTACTATTATTTTATGTAACTTGTTAATTTACTTATAAATTATGTTGTTTTGATACTAAGGAATGTTGAGTATCAATTTAACACAGAATAGGCAAATGACATAATCATATTATAAAATTGATATTTGGATACGTTAAAAATTTAACAATAAATTTTAATAAAAATGTGAGTGGATCATTTCTCTCTCTAACACAATCTATATAAAATATTTTCACTGTGTGCGACACACACACACACACACACACACACACACACACACACACACACACACACACAGAAGAACCCGTTTCTGAATGGATTACATCGCCTTGTACATCACTCGGCCCCATGCCGTACGAAATGTCTCGCTCGTGGATTTCTCGCGGCTTCACGCGAGGGAGAAAGGAGAAACACAAAACGTAACATGCCTGGTCACCATCGCCGTCAGCGTTAAATTTGCCGCGCGTTACACATCCGCACTTCCAGGCAACTACCGGCTGTTTAAAAGTCATATGAGCGGTTACGTGAAGACGGGATAAAATCACGTACCGTGCGTTTTATTATTTCGCATCGGGACCACTTTCTCCGTAGCGCCGACCACTTTCCGGGTCGCTCCGCGTCCTCGGCCGATGCGGATGTAAAACGCGTTTGGCATAATGGAGCATTCTTCGCGTACCGCACGGGTACCTGCGTAACACCGCACTTCGAGGTTTCTCTCTCTCTCTCTCTGTCTCTCTTTATATATCTCGGTAATTAATCCTTTTACACAGCGCGCACATTGCACAGTGCACAGTGGGTTATAATGACTACCGTCCGTACTCCGTTTTCAAGGAGTAAGCTTTCTAGGTAGCTAAAAATTAAAGTTCGTGCAACACAGAGCGATTAAAATCTAGATTTAAATCCGGATAAATTGAATTTAAATTACCCATCGATTGCATGACGCAGTCTTGTTGAACGCATGATACCTATGATCGACCGAAGGAGAAAGCTTTGCGATACTTCGGAGAAAGCATTAACTGATCGTGAAGCGTGAGATTAATGAGGCGCCATGTGTTATCAGAACTTTAGGAGAGACCGTAAACGATGGCCCTTGCTTTATTAAAATTAATTTTTGTCGGTCCCCGTCAATTACGAGAAAGCGAGAGAAAAAGAGATATTTTTACGAGCTTTCGTGGAAAGCACTGTCGAAGAACGAAACGTTGAGAATATTGCGGAGACATTGTATATTATCAGAAAATTATACAAGACCATAAAAGAAACCTATACGTTTTCTTTTATTAACATCTGAGAGAGAAACTTTTACGAGCCCTTGCAGAAATTCAGAAATTGCGCTGCAAAGAAATAGTTAGATCACATATGTTATCAATTATATCAGAAACTTTGCAGGACCATATAAAAATCTATTTATTATAGTGCATATGCGATAGGTGAGGTTAATAAGTGACCTTAATTTTACTTTCAAAGATCAAGGTGGTATATATTAAAGTTGCTTGATTGATTTCACCTACATATACAAACTTGATTTTTATAAACTGACTTCTTAACTAAGAGAGAAGCTTCTGTCAATCAAATCTCTACGCTATTTTTTTACACAGTCATGACTATAAATCCATCAAATCTGATAGCTTACAAATCATTAAAACGTCACAGGTCAAAAGCAATAATTTATTTATCGTGTTTCTAACGAGCGTCACTGTTCTCACAGTTCAAGACGATGAGCAACCTTTATTTCACCTTTTTTATTGCATTCTCGACGCGCGCGCAGTAGTAAAAGCGCGTAGGTATTGTCAAATAATAATAACAACAGCAATAACAGCCTCCTCATTGTTCATTAACTGCACCATCAGGCAAACGGGAAAAACGCTCGTCCGACGTGCTCGTTGTGCTCGACGATAATCGCTGCCGGTCGTTCGTATTCAACGTAACGATCACTCGGACACTCGACGCAGGACATTACGAATTTGCCCGCACGTGGTTCTACGAAAAGGAGAGGAGTATCACGACGACGCGACGACGTGTCGAGTGCCGAGCGCCGAGCCGAAGAGGTTCCTCTTTTCTTTGCCTACACGCGCTTGTCGCTCAAGGTGACGCGCGCTGAATTATTCACGAGCGTGGTCTCCTCGTAGGCATGTAGATCTACGAGTAGGACGAATAGAGGCGGTATAGGCAAGCAGGCAGCAGAGTGTGCAGCCTGGAGCGTCTCTAAGGCAGAACAGATCGGTATGCTGGATACCGTAACTCGAACGTCGCCGATGACGATCGCTCGAGCACGAAGGCGTTGTCCCTCGCCTTCGGCTAACGTGCAAAACCCTCGATTCTCTTGCTCAGCGAAGCGTGCGGCGAAACGAAGCAAGCCCTCGTTTTCGAAACGATTTTCGTCCTTGCGGCACGGATTATCGGGCGATATTTACATTTTCTCTTTGCAACTCTTGGATAAATGTAATGCGGGATCTACGATTTAAGATCCTACGACCGCTACGACTTCTATTGTAGACCCCGCATAAAGAGTAAAATCGAGTTATCGCTCTCTCTTAAAAATATTATTCAGATCGTAATAAACATCATACCAGATATATATGCGATAATAGAACAATGGACAATGTACATGTAAACCTTAAAAAAATCGTAGAAGAAAATTTGTACTAATTCTACAGACATTTAGTGTTTAAAAGAATAAAACTTAACAAAAAAATCTATTCTAAATTAACCTTTAGAGGGCAGAGAGAGGGGTTTTTTATTTTAAAAATCTTACAGCTTTTCCTTTAATAAGATTTACGTTTTATGGTTCATTGCATTTTTGCTTTAAAATATAACACTGTTTCAACATTATTATAGTAGTTTCTCTCATGGTACAAGAATATAAGATATTCCATTGCCGAAGATGCGCAGTAGTTCAAAACATGGTGGCTGTTCTTTAACCATTTAAAATGTTCTAAATTGTATTTTAAAAAAAGAAAAAAAAACAATATGGTTGCTACTGGCTGCTACCATGTGCATTAGATTGTAGGTGCATTATAGAAGACTGTTTCGAGTGAAAAGTGCAGATACTGCGGACACGAATAAAATTTTTTGAATTTTCATTTAGCCACAGTAGATAGAATTTTAATTTGTCTTATATTTGTTATACATTTATATTTTTATCAATACTGTATTTGAATTTAGCGCTAACTTTGAGGTAAGCATTTGATTGGTTGTTCTATTAGTTTATGCGTAATATGCGTAATAGAATACTTTGATTGTGTTCCAAAATTTACTACCAATATTGAAAATCTAGTTTACGTTACGTGCACTAGATAGATTTTCAGTACTGGCAAATTTTGGAACATAGCCTTTATATTCTTATACCATAGCTTCTCTATAAAGGTTAATCAGAGGATTGGACTGTAATTTTTAAAATATAGTAAACAAAATATTTAAATATTGCATTTTTTTTCTTTCTTTTTTTCTTTCTATTTTTTTATCAATACGTCTAGATTTACAAAAAAATATATTAATAGTTACTGCAGTTAAAAATGCGGAAAAAGAGTCGCTTTTAATTTTGCAAAATCTCTTTTGTAGTCATTCGCAGGAAGATTTCGCGAAGCAGAAAGATGAAAGGTACACCCGCAATGAACATCCGCGCGTGGATTACGTTACGACAGAGACAGGTTGAAATCTTGGCCGTCGGCGCGGCGCAGCGGCCCGTAGACCCCCTCTCCGTTGCCGTGAAAATATCTGTGGCACGAGAAAAATTCGACAATAACAACCATGCCTGCCGAGAGTGCAGGTGTGTTCCCCGTGCGAAGCGGTACCACGCGGCACTTCGTAGCTTCCCTTTCTCCTTCACGGCGACCTCTTGAAACTCGAAACACCGCTGACGGCGGCCACCGGTTTTCGTTCATTGTGCGTCTTTTGCATCCGCGCGAATGCTCGTCGCATCATAGACGTCACATGAGAGATATTCAGAAGATAAATTTAATTAAAATAATCAGCCAATATAATTAAAAAAACTTTGACGACGTTATAGCTCGTGAATACGTCTTGAAACAATTGCAAAACAAATAATTTGGCTTATAATGGTTTTATGTGGCAAAATGAATATATTTTACTGCAATTTTAAGTCAATAACTTTAACAAATAAGTGGATCCGAATAAACTTTTGCAGAAACATTTATTATTGTTTTATTAGATATGTGCATAAAATTTGATTTAATCCTATATAAGTTTTAAAAAAAAATATGTTGGTTACAAAAAATTAAAGCAAGATAAATTCTAATCTCACTTTCAAAATTAACATTGAAAAATACATAAGCCAAAAATATCAATTAAACAAAATCTTCTTCTCTTCTTCTTAGGCCTCTGGCTCGTGTTTATTTATCAAACACAAATCTAATAAAAAAATTAATTTTGATTTGTTTTTCTTTCATTTTTATTTGTGCCTATTTATTTCTCTCGAATAATTCTCTAAAGTTGTATTTTGCTAACAAAATAAAGTTGCTATTATAGCAAAGTTATTTGGCTCATACAATCATACTAGCAAATTATTTTTCTCCGTGTGGGCAAGGATATTCTCAGAAGATTGCCGGCTTTTTGTCGAGAGGAGACACGAGCGAGCGTAAATATTTTGATTCCTACTGAGATCCAACCTCTGACATGATAGACCAGATAAATCAATGCGCTATCTGCCATACCACGCTCGCGCTGAACAATCATTGTCAATTAATGTAATCAGAACAATGTCGAGGCTAAGGATAATCATATAGGTTTATAAAGACTCGATCCGATGACCATAATAATGATGGTCGATTCCGAAAGAGGAATTACACGTTGCACACCTCGATTAAGTTACAATAGCATCTACGGCTATTAATCGTGTCGCGATAATTCTTGCGTTGTTGCTTCCTACGGACAACGAGACGGATGCGGATGTTACTCAATAGCGTTTATGAACTTGCTTCGGCCTGCATACAAGCACACCACGCACTTTCCTAACGGTGCTCGGGACTCGAGACGCGACGATAAAAAAATCTCACGGTGTCGCAACCAGTGGCGCATATCAATCAGTCGTCCGACCCGCTCATTAGACCCGCTGTCGTTATGCCGTCGTTACTCGAGTTACTCCCGTGGACAGTGCGAACATTGGATGATCCACGGGGAGAAGGAGGAGGGCTTGTGCCCTCCGTAAGTTAGTCGCGCGCTCTCAATTCGAGACACGTTTCATAAACCGCCAAGTGAGTGTTGCAAGCGCGTGATTGCGAGGCGCGTTTACGAGTCAACGTTAACAGAAATAACGTGACCGAGAAACACGCGTCGTTCCGCGTCGTTCGCGCATGCGACACGCTCGTGATTCCGTTTATCGTACTGAGAAAAATTTCTGGTTGAAAATGGACAAACCAGAAGATTCTGATCACGTATCAATCAGAATTCTGGTTATCTCAACCAGAATTGTAATAGATTCAATCACAAAATTCTGATTTGTTCATTTTCACCCAGAACTCTAATTATTTAATTAATGCAATCAGACTCTTTTTACTAATTGTCGACATCCTTGCGTCGCTATGAACGTGAGTGTTTTTGTCAAAATTCATAATAACATAATTTCCACGTTCTTGTTATTGTTAGCCATAACTGAAGGCCGGAATATCTGTTAAAATAAATTGGGCATCTTGAATTACAACTAAAATTTTTGAAAATATTAAATTATTTAAGTATAGTGGAATGGCCATCACAGAAAATAATAATGTTATTAATTTAATATAATTAACATAGTTTAATGTTAAGATTAATATAGTCATTGCTAACACATCAATGACAAATTATAGAATAATAACATTAATTGTGTTAGTAAACTCAAAACAGAGAAATTTTTATCCGTTATTGTTGATTTATTGAGGATAGTGTGGCCAATTGACGGCGACGGAACGAATTATCCGCAATGTTTTCTGCTACTCGACAAGTTATGAGGGGAAAAAAAATCGAGAAATTGTACGACCGGAATCTGCTTGCATCAATTCCGTATTGGCTGGTATCGAAGCCGCTGTACTGTGTTGTCTCGTTCTGATGTGTCATTTATTGCGGAACTCAGGAGGAAAAAGCCATAAATTTAACGGAATGGCATGAATGGGCACAATAGAAATGGATGGATGGACAGACATTCAGTTCACGACTTGTGGAGCATATTCTTCATTTCTTAGATACGTGACAGGCGCATGAATCTACTCCTTACAAAAATATAATCCTTCTGTTGAACCTCTGTTTTTAATGTTGAGTAGCGCGATAATTATGACAATTATAAGATTCAAAATTTTGACAGAAAGAAATAAAATAATGTGTGTGAAGATACCAATATTATTAATCAATAATAAAATATATTAATTTTAATATATTAAAAAATAAATAGGCTTAAATATTTAGTTTAAATATACATATATCTTCATAAATATATGTTTTCAAATAAATAATTTTTTTTACTTTTCACGTATGCATTTTTTTAGGGAGGATTTCGTCTTCAAATCTTAGACTTTTATGACAGACCTCTGATCGACTTGACGCCCATCACAAAAAACAGCGAGTTTGTCGAGGGCGATGCCACGTAAGTGCATGATGATGCGTCCTTCTTCTCGAGTCTGATTACCTAATTAAGCTTGACGTTTCCGATTTTCCAGGGCGCAGAGGTATCCAGTGCAGCTGCCGCAAGATTTCACCTGCACGGACTGCACCATCAGGTTGCTGCGGGAGGCCGAGGAATGGGGCTCCAGCTACAGATTTTGGTCGTGCGCCGACATCGATGTGAGTTTCTCGTGATTTCTCTTGGAAAATGTAGCTTCTAACCCGATTAAACGCAGAGTAATTTAATTGATGAGCGAAACGACGGAAAATGAAATTGAGTAGCATGATACATTGCGACGTTAACACGTTTTACTCGCTACTAAACAAAACTGAAAAAAAAAGACAAAAAAGTTGTATAAAAAACGAAAATATAAAATTGTTAATAAATTATTGACGTATTTTGGTATTGATAGTTTTGTTCGAATTGACAATGTATCATAGTTATTGTAATTACTGCAATCTATATATAATCGCGACGAAAATATAAAATCATTAAAAATTATCAACGTATTTTTTCAATTACTAATATATTTAATTATTATAATTGTTTTAATGTGTAATCGTGTTATTACGGAATTTTTTAAACTTTAATGTGTCTAATGGTTATATCAATCAGAATTCCGGTTATTTTAATTAGAATTTTAGTAGAGTTAACCAGAAAAATCTGATTTATCTATTTTCAACCAGCATTTCAATTAATCCAACTAGACATTTTTGTCCAAGTAACAAGGTAACGTTTTAATAACTTATTTAATGTCTTATTGATGTTAAAGACGTCATTAAAACGTTATTAAGATGCTGTTTGACATCATCTTGCTTGGGAAAATTCACATCTAACGATGTTTCACAAAACATCTTAGCAATTATCTTCGTAGATATGAAATTAACGACAAATTTCCTCGCAGTCGCAAAATTCCTTCTCCTCTGTCTCTCCGAGTTTCCACTCGGATGGTCTGTAATGTATAATTTTTCCGCCGACCAGATTCTCGATAGAGTGGGTTACAAAGAGAACTGTAGCGGTAATGGACGTCACCTGCTAGGCAGGTGCAGGTGCGACCGTCTCTACCACGGCGCGAGGTGCGAAATTAAGGAGGAGTGCGTGGACGACGCGGACTGCGGTATTCTGGGCACGTGCGTCGACCATGGTGGCACGACCGTGCCTACCAAGCAGTGCTACTGTAACGCCGGATGGTTTGGTCCGGGTTGCGCGAAGAGTAAGTTTCCCTTCGAGAATTTCTCGCATAAGCTGCGACAATCGCTTCTGGAGCACTTATGCCGAATCGATATCAACGTCTGGCTGATCTTGATATCAAACATCTGGACGTGATTGGAAAAGAAAGGGAAAGATTCCAAAGACTTTGATTTCTCTAATACCAACACATAAAAAATAAGACACGAGTTTTTTTACGATACAATATGAACTTTGCGCTTTTTATATCTTTTTATTTTTTATCTTATGTTAAATTAAATCTTTTTAAATAACTCTTGAAATTGCATCAAATATTTTATAGTGATATTTTCATTATGTTTAGCGATTTATAATAAAACACATTTTAATAGAACTTTTAAATATTTATTAAATTATATGTCAATTGCCTTGAACAAATTAATTTTTTAATTGCCTTTCTTTTTAATTTTTTGCATATAAAACTTCTGATTTATTAATTGCATTTTAAATATAGATGATAACATATTAAAAATTAGCAAATTCGCATTGCAAATATTATTATTATATTCTTTAATATGTGTGAAAAATATATTCAACATATTTACATTTGTTGTGAGATTTAATAATTAATTTTACTCACAACTATATATATCAATTCTTGATCACGCTGTATTAGCTAAAAACTGATGATCTATTAGTTTTTTAATGAATCCTTAGAGACAGAAGTGATTTAATAGTTGCCAGTGCGAGCGAGCACTGACATTCATCAAATGAAAAAAAAGTGATTAAGAAGGTTTCAGACCGTAGCGAGCGTTGTCTCAACAAGTTTGCGGTGAAATCGTCCGTGACAATCGTTCTTGCTCTATCAATAATTCCACTTTCAGGATCACCGGTGAAAAGTATCGACGTAAATTTGGATGCGTATTCGATGAAGCGATTCTCTGACGACATCATATTCTACTGGCGGATATTGAAGGAGAGCAAGGAAGTGGAAGGCATTCTTGTAGCCAACTCCACAACGTGGATTGGTTTTTTCCCTACGATTAAAGATATGTTCCCTGAACCACTTCCGCAGCCGGAGCCGAAATCGGAACCCATCGACAAATCGACGCCCAAACCGGAACCAGAACCCAAACCGGAACCAGAACCTGGCGTGGAAGGTGAGAAATCGATAGCGAAGAGACGATCGGCGAAGGCAGATGCTGCGAATTTCGGAGTAACATCGCGACCGGATGTTGATGTTACTGTACAGACCAGCGTGACCTATCAAGTTAGCACAAAACAAGGTAAGATCTATTTATCGTGTTATATCACGTCATTATTTCCCGGAAAGAAAGTATTTGTCGATATTGCAAAATGTTTATGTCGTAGAGTATCTCAGGAAGTTGCAATAGATTCCGCTACAACTCTCTTCACGTGTTTCTTGAAATTCATATGTCACTTCTTGCAACATGCAATATTCTTGTATTATACATTTACGAAATGAACTTCTACGCGTTTCTGCAGGAAGAGAAAACATGTCTGGTAACATATACATACGTGATATGCATTTGTTAGAGTGTTCTTATTCGATTTTTTTCTACCATATCGCGCACAGGCGACACAATCATTAACACGCTATCAGTACTAGTTAATGTATTCTGACGTCTTATACATGATTCGTTCAGAGTTCAAGGAGTTCGTAATTACATAAATGACGATTGTAAAAAATGATAATGCAAGCAGAAGTAATCCGCTTCAGAATAATGATACACTACGTAAAGCAAGAGTCGGAGAATATGTACATCGAATGTGAAACATGCACACGCATAATTTTTTATTTCCAAACTGCAAATTCTATGAAAATTAAAGACAGAATTATTTCTTCGTATTTATCACAATGAGACGTTAACTATAATTATTATAGGAAATTTTAATTATTTTTACAATTTCAAGAGAATAAAAAAGATGATAATTTGTAACGTAATCTTCGCAATATTTTTGGTTGAAAATTAATCTTTTTTTAGGTCGCAAGAGGAGATCTCCAAAATCATCCGCAGCCTCTGCGCTTGGTATGTATGTATTATGTATTTATGTCCAAAAAAGCCCCGGTGAGTCGCTCGCTTCCTCAGGAATTTAATAGCAATATGTAGATTTACCTGAGAAATCCTAGTAGTCGGTGTAACAATAACCCCCTTTCGAGACACGACGCACAAGGTGATGGTCCCAATAAGTAGATAGTTCGCACGACGTACGATGCTTTGTTGCACAGGGAGAGAAGTCGGCGAGGTCAGCGATGTTATCGAGCAGAAAACCACCTCTGAGCCAGAATCCACTTCTGAGCCAGAACCTACCTCTGAGCCAGAACCAAAATCCGAGCCTGAACCCAGCTCCGAACCAGAGCCGAAATCTGAGCCTCAACCCAGCTCTGAGCCACAACCAAAATCCGAGCCTGAACCTAGCTCTGAACCGGAACCAAAATCCGAGCCTGAACCTAGCACCGAGCCGGAACCAAAATCCGAACCAGAACCTAGCTCCGAGCCGGAGCCGAAATCTGAACCAGAACCTATCTCTGAGCCAGAACCGAAATCTGAGCCGGAACCGAAATCCGAACCGGAGCCAAAATCCGAACCGGAGCCAAAATCCGAGCCAGAGCCAATATCCAAACCGGAGCCAAAATCCGAACCGGAGTCAAAATCCGAGCCAGAACCAAAATCCGAACCGGAGCCTAATTCTGTACCGGAACCAAAGTCTGAACCGGAACCCAAATCTGAACCAGAACCCAGCTCAGAACCGGAGCCAAGTGTGGGTCCAAAGTCGGGAGCGACGAAAGGTAACGAGGACCGATTTAACGCTTATTTCGCACATATCGCCATGCTACACTCTCATATCATTAACTCCTAAGCTACCAGAGATTTTTCGCTTTCTAACTTTTAGTTATTTAATTTTTGTTTTTGACATTGTAATGAAAAAGAAATACAAGAATTGTTATAATTCCGATACGTATATATTCTACACAAGTACATTACGTTGAACCAACATTGAAAACAAATTCAGTGATAAATGTAAAATCTCTCGTAGTTGTAGAATATATCTCAATAGATAATCAGTAGGGTGTATGTACATTGCTCATATTCCTTTCGATATTCGCGACTTTCACGATGACCGTGTGGCAGCCGGTAAAAGTTTGCACGAGTGGAACGTGAGGACTGCAACAGCAAATATTTACCGTGAAAGCGTATTTAGCGTGCTGATAAGATGTGAGAGTAATCTATTCCGTCCGCCATTTCCGCCACCGGATACCGAAGCTGGATGTAAAATCTAAAATGTTAATGCAATTGTCCTAATTCCGCATAAATTCCTATTGATTTAATTTTGCCAACTGCGTCTTTGCACGCAGCAGCAAAAAGTAGACAACTGTATGCAAAGATAATAATGTTGATAACGCTTAATGCTTCACGTCCCCGTCGCTATATACACTGCTCACCACGAGAATTTTATATTTTCCTTGTAAATATCAATAACTTCCGAGTTGCAGCATGCATTATTTTGACACGAAATTTGCACGTGTCTCGATTTCTATCCGTCACGATTTTTCTCATGACACTGTAGGACATCATTTAACTCCCGCATCATAACATCGACTCATCTCACTCCAGACTAAGAATTAATATGTCGGGACTGAAATGCACCAACAAGAAAACTGAAGTTTTAAAAAACTTAAAGTGTGTGTACAAAAAATATTTTAATTGAAGATGTATCAGATGTATATAGTCTTTGCAAAAAATGAATGGAATTGAAAATTTATACTTTCAGTACAAAAACGAATGTTATATATATGTATACATATGAAACAGTTCAATAAGATCAATATTTATATTTAATAATTTTATAGTTTTAATGAAAACTTTTTTATTTTCTTATTTTTTTTAAACATGTCTATTTCTTATTAAAACAATTTTTTGTCCAGAGTCTAAACTTTTTAGTAGCTAGCCGCCAAACTTTTTATATTACTTTTAAATACAATATAAAAAGATTTGTAATTTTTTTATAATTTCTTCATTTTGTTAAAAAATATTTGATAATACATTCTTAATAAAAAAGCTGTACGAATAATAAGAGAAAATACTGCTGAACAATTTGAAAAAAAAGCTACAAGATATATGTATAATACAAAATTAATTTCTCTTTAGACAAATACAAGTCATGAAGTTACAAAACATTCGATTGACGAAAAATATATCCAACGCATTTCATAATTAGTTCACCGTTCAGTTTCATCATAGGCATTCTACATGATAATTTTACGGCGAATTTTCGCAATGTTCGGATCTTTGTGTTAACTAAATTTATTTGCACACACGAAGCATCGTTGCCGGCGCCAGGACACAAATACACGCCTAAGCACGACTTCAACCCCATGGACTGCACGGACATTATAATCGGCACGGCTCGAGGGACGAGTTACAGGATCGGCGATTATTACACGAGGGATAGATCGACGCCGCGCAAGGACGCGTACTGGGACGAGACTGGGAAGGACAGCCTGACGGCTGCGTTCGGCTACGAACGCGACGGCGTCACGACGATACTCTTCCGCAGGAAGTTGGCCGCAAACGAACCGACCGATCACGAGATCCGCGATGGCAATATGCAGGTGATTTGGGCGAAAGGTCAAGAGCCGGGCAGATACATACACCAGCCGGCTAGCGGAATCGAAAAGGCCAAGGTCGGCGTCAAAGACTTCTACAAGGTGGACGAGCTCAAATATCACGGCCATGGAATGCAGAGAGGCGTGGTCACCATGAATTTCTTCGGTGAGATCATCTGTTCAGCATCCGCCGTGTTTATCCAGAGATTATTGATGCTCGCGTGTGTCTAGCGTGGCATTTAAAATCATACATTGTACACTAGGCGTCATTGATGCCTTCCAGCTTGAAATTTATAATTTCCTCCGATCGTACACATTATATCTGTACACTACTAAAAAAAAAGGAAATTTGCTTTTACGTGTAATAGAAGCAAATTTCTTTTTTTAGCAGCGT